ATAATGTTCTTAGCGGTGATTAGAGCTCGTGCCACGGCGGCTCCGTTGAACGCGGCGTACACGGCGGAGGAATTCGAGTTTTATCTCTCCGATTCAGATTCAAAGCTATTGTTAACTTCTCAAGAAGGAAACGGACCGGCTCAAGAAGCAGCTTCGAAGCTAAACATCTCTCACGTCACCGCCACGCTGCTTGACGCTGGCTCGGACCTTGCTCTGTCCGTGGCAGATTCCTACTCGGTCGTTGACTCAGCGGCGGAACTCGTTAATAGCCCCGAAGACGCGGCTCTCTTCCTCCACACTTCAGGCACCACGAGCCGTCCAAAGGGTGTACCGCTTACGCAGCTCAATCTAGCATCATCAGTTCGGAACATTAAATCGGTTTACAAACTTACCGAGTCTGATTCGACTGTGATTGTTCTCCCTCTGTTCCACGTTCATGGATTGATGGCTGGATTGCTTAGCTCGCTTGGAGCTGGTGCGGCTGTGACTCTCCCAGCTGCTGGTAGATTCTCAGCAACAACGTTTTGGCCAGACATGAAGAAGTATAACGCCACTTGGTATACTGCTGTTCCCACCATTCATCAGATCATATTGGACCGCCACGCGAGTCACCCTGAGTCGGAATACCCGAAACTCCGGTTCATTAGGAGCTGCAGTGCTTCTTTGGCTCCGGTAATGCTCTTGTTGATGCGTTTGAGGGAGAAACTTGGATTTATTTGCTTTTCAACAAATTTATGGGTTTTTTCGTCTTCGTTTTGGTCAGGTGATATTGTCTAGGCTTGAGGAAGCTTTTGGAGCACCGGTTCTAGAGGCCTATGCAATGACAGAAGCAACCCACCTGATGAGTTCCAACCCCTTACCGGAGGAAGGTCCACACAAGCCTGGGTCTGTTGGGAAACCGGTGGGTCAAGAAATGGCGATCCTCAATGAGAAAGGCGAGATACAAGAGCCAAATAGCAAGGGTGAGGTTTGTATAAGAGGTCCAAATGTGACAAAGGGTTACAAGAACAACCCAGAGGCCAACAAGGCAGGTTTCGAGTTTGGGTGGTTCCACACTGGTGATATCGGTTACTTCGATTCCGATGGGTATTTGCATCTGGTGGGTCGGATCAAAGAGCTTATTAACCGTGGAGGTTAGTCTTTTTCACATTTACTCGATGTGATGGCTTTACTGTTTCACATGAATATGAGTCTATGTCAAGCAGCTTATATGGATCAATCCTTTATTTGCATAGTCTCAATGAGTGGTTAGACTTGTGTCACTTGTCAAAGAAAGCCCCCCAACAGATAAGAAATGAGAAAAGATATAGAAACAAGTCAAAGAAAGAGGCTTCTCTCTGTGTGCAGTATCATTTTCTTCTGTATCAATTACTTGGAATTGCTGTTTACTTAACTTACCATCTCTATTTCAGGTGAGAAGATATCTCCAATTGAAGTGGATGCAATACTCTTAACTCATCCCGACGTTTCTCAGGGAGTTGCGTTTGGGGTTCTTGATGAGAAATATGGCGAAGAGGTAAGCAAAACTGGTGCTTAAGTTGCTCTATTATCTCACTATAATCCGGAGATTAGGGAGAGGATCATACAGATCCATGATCTGGTCTCCATCATCTACCATGCTTGTTTCAAGATCATGACTAGGGTGTTTTGAAACTGTTGATAACAGATTTATATTCTCTTGGTGTATTTGTTTATTTATCAGATTAACTGTGCGGTGATTCCAAGGGAAGGAACAATTGTGACCGAAGAAGACATTAAAGCCTTTTGTAAGAAGAATATGGCAGCTTTCAAGGTGCNAAAGAGAGTGTTCATCACTGATAACCTCCCCAAAACTGCATCCGGTAAGATTCAGCGCCGTATCGTCGCGCAGCATTTCCTCGAAAAACCCTGAAAACGGCACAAAGACATCTTGGTCGAAGGAGAATCTGGCAGCTTTCAAGGTGATGAGTCTTAATAGTTTTTACGCAAAGTGATTTTGCTTCCTCAATTTGTTATGGTACTTTTCATATGTTTCATGGATACAAATGAACATGGTGGTAAAGGTATAGTTAAATTACAAAATTTGAAATAAAGTTGACAAGAGTTATTTTTTAAGTTATAATAAAGTAGTCCTTCTCATTTTCCTTTATTCTTTTGGGTGTTGTCGCTGCGTTGTTTGTGAAAGATGCTCTTGAGCTAGTGCGTATAAGCCAATTCGACAACTAAAGTCCTACCGACCAAAACTGAACATGACATATGTATGTACACATTTCAGCTTAATCTCAATAACAAGCCAACTATTTAGTGGAGTGGTAGGGTTGCTTCCATCTTGTTACCATATTTTGTTTTCTAATGGTTCCAGTTCCAACTTGGCAAAAAGGAAAAAGAATCCCAAGATATTTTATTTTGAAGTTGTGGCAAAACATTAAAAAAATACTATCATACTTTCAATATCATCAAAGAGTCAGATTCTCTGAAACTTAGATTTTCAATTTAAAAAATGACAATCATTCGCTGTTAAACACAAATCATAACGAAGAATACAGACTCTACGGGTTTTACTAGACCCAAAAGGACAAATGAGATCAAACCGTACGAATCCAAGACGTGAACCGAACTAGAGAAATAACCAAACCGGAAATTTTAAGCTAAAGGCAAAGATGATGCACTACTGAAAGTTAACACACAAACACAAACGAGAAAAACCAGAATAAGAGAGAGAACTATACGAGGTCAACTTTTTGTTCTTGGATCATTGTTATTGCTCCTCTTGGATATTTTCTTCTTCTTCGTCTTCGTAATCATACCCTTGTTCCTCCTCCGTTGTCGCGTCTTGATACTGCTGATACTCCGAGACCAGGTCGTTCATGTTACTTTCTGCTTCTGTGAACTCCATCTCGTCCATTCCTTCACCAGTGTACCAATGCAAGAAAGCCTTTCTTCTGAACATAGCTGTGAACTGCTCGCTCACTCGCCTGAACATCTCCTGGATCGAAGTCGAGTTTCCTATGAAAGTGGGTGCCATTTTCAGACCTGTAGGTGGGATGTCGCAGACAGTTGACTTCACATTGTTGGGGATCCATTCCACAAAGTACGATGAGTTCTTGTTCTGAATGTTGATCATCTGTTCGTCGACTTCTTTCGTGCTCATTTTGCCTCTGAACATTGCTGATGCGGTTAAGTATCTGCCATGGCACGGATCAGCTGCACACATCATGTTTTTGGAATCCCACATCTGTTGAGTGAGCTCGGGAACGGTCAAGTCTCTGTATTGCTGGGAACCACGAGATGTTAAGGGTGCGAATCCGACCATGAAGAAGTGTAGACGAGGGAACGGAATCAAGTTGACCGCAAGCTTTCGCAGGTCGGAGTTGAGCTGACCCGGAAAACGGAGGCAGCAAGTGACACCACTCATGGTTGCAGAGATGAGATGATTCAAGTCTCCATGTGACATCCTGGACCCAAATTGTGACCGTGAAGCCCACGTAAATGAACCCAAGGGTAGAATGGACATTTTACCACAAGCCCTAGTTGACACCGATGACTATATTAGTCGCCGTCAACGAGGAATAGAGGCAGCGGTTCATCAAAAACAAAAGCAAGAGGAGAGAGAGAGAGACTTCGAGCAGAGAATTCAGTTACTCGTGATTCGAGAGTGATCAGACGTGTGTACCATCGCCAGAGGAAGAGAAACTCAATTTTGTCGCCATCAAACACCAAAGTCTCAGGTGAGCGTGATTTGTGAACTCTATTATATAGTTATGAATCTGGTTTGGGATGGCTGTTTGGTTGGTGGTGAAACATGAAGCTAGTTGCGTGATGTGTGTTCATGATTGCTTGATGGCATGCTTGAAAGTTGTTCTTCTGTAGGTAGAAGATGATATTTTATTATTCATATTTTAACCAAAACAATTTAATATTGAAATGGTGGATTCATGTCAATTGATCGTAGGTTAATTACGTAACACATGTTATGTGGGATAAAATAATATAGACTTCATTAGTTGAATTAATCTGGTGGGTGAATTATATGACATAGAATATGGAGTCAGTTAAAAGAATTATTATTGTGGATTTTACTGTGAATTAGATTTCTAGTTGAATGTGCCTGTGGATTCGTGTGATGTTAGTCGTCACGGCTTCGGGAATTGGTGTTGGGCTATGGCAACAGCGGTGTTGAGCCATAGTTCATTAACGGCTGACAAGCCGGAAATAACCGTGGGCGTTCTACGTGGCGGGAGCTCGACGTGAGCAAGTAGCCGACGTGGCTGTGGGGGTTCCAAATTCTCGTACCGACGTGGTTGGGAATGAGGAGTGGTTGAGTACCTACTGGGTGTTATGTCAATAGTTAAAACTTGTGGTGATTAGTCTTGTCAGACTTGTTGTGTGGTTTCGGGTGGATTAAGTGATGCATGTTTTATCTCTCAAGGTTCGATGCATAAATGTATATTAGAGTTCAGTGGACAGAGGAAATCTTGTCACTGGGTAACTTAGTTACTCACGCCTCCTTTTATGGATGCAGGTGAGCTTGAGGAGTAGCTTGGTAGGATCTCGGAGTGGTGCTGGTTTTTCGAAGAATGCTAATTGTTTTGGTTTTTATTAGAATAAACGGTTTTCTAAAACTACTTGTTTAATTCATTAATATTATTTTAGTTGAATTTGTTTCATTTGAATTTATTAAACACTTGTTTACGCAATAAATAAATATTTGAAGTTGAGATTTTAGAAATGGTTAATGTGGTTATGCTCGGTGTCGCGTAACATGTCGTCTCGGCTAAGTTAGCAAGTCGAGTATTACACTCCAACTGAACAAGATACATAAGGAAAACGGCATTTTTGGACCAAAACTATTGCCATCGGGCATTTTTGGATCTAATCTTTTAACATTGACCAATTTAAACCTGAACCTCAAATTAATTTAAATTCGATACTCAAACATACGATTTTATTATTGATTTGGACCTTGACCAAGTTANCGTTAATCAACTTTAACGGAACAGTGACATGGACGACACGTAGACAAAAGGAACAGTCTTTTTGGACCAGAACTATTGCCATCGGGCCTTTTTGGACCTGATTTTTTAATTTTGGCC